GTGAGCAACTAGAAGAACGCGATGAAGATTGCAGCGGGTCCAGAGATCCTCCAAAGTACGACTAAAGAATGTTCTTAATAAGAATGGTGATGACCAGAGACATTCCAGTTTTCAATCAGCAGAAGAAACAGTTTTTAACAAAAATGAATGAGAATTTTTGAAAAATGTTCGCAAATGATTGAAGAATTTCTAAATAAAATTGATGATAAAAATTAGAGAACGTTTCCAAAGATTTGATTGATAACATTGAAAATGTATCTTTGAAGAATTCGACGCAGACTTCTCAAAATTATTAAAGATATTATGTAATCAGAACAATGGAGAATTCTGAAGAATATCTAAAACATTCGATAAAGTAGAGAGAGAGATCAAACAGTAGAGGGACCATGAGTAACTAACACGAAAGTGCTACCACCAATTAATACGGTAGCTGTAGATCGTTAGTGATAGAAGAATCATCTAGAGACGAAATGACACATAATATGAGATTCAAATTACCACACATTTGATGGATAGTACTCTAGGTCCATATACCATAGACAATTTGGAAGCTAGTGCGGACTAGCCAATCATTGGACAGAAACAAAGAAAAAGGCTGTTTCCTTGGAACTGCTGTTTACGAGGTGATGCTGAGATATTCCTAAGAATCGATCCTAAGGGTCAAGAAAATGTTACCAGACCTTGTTTTCACTCGGCTTGGACCAACGTTAACGGAGATGCCATCTTACAATAAGTCTCCAAAGTTACAAAATAAGAAGTAGAAATTCAACGAGCCATGGAGAGTTGCAAGAATTTGAAGCAGATATTGCTCGTATAGCGCTGTTGGCCTATTCAGAGGCACCAGACAACATTTTGAAGCAAATTGCTGTAGTTGCCTCGTCAATGGGTTGAGAGACAGTGAACTACAGAAAAGCTTTACGATAGCAAGACCTCGCAAAGTTTTAGATGAAGCGCTCGCCATTGCCTTGGGACATGAGATAAGTAGTCGTGTTTCACGGAAGCTCTCAAGTTTACGAACCTCTGAGAGAGTGACGAACGAAACGATAAACGTTGGAGGCATATACGTACGGAAAGTAGTTCGTAACACTGATGCCCGAAGTGAAGTGATACCAGATGTTGGAATGGTATCATCCGAAGGTCACATTCGCCACAAGTGCAAGAAAAGAATACAACAGTCGGAAAGCTAGAACAGATCGAGCACGCTAGTTAAAGTCATCAATGCTGTATGTTTCAATCAAGACGGCCATACAGTGACAAATCGTAAATCATTGTCTTAAATTAGAAGAACGATTTGCCCCGTGAGGCGAACCACGTTATTTAATGTTCATGGCAGCTCCACAGTACAGGACGCCTCAAGCAATGATCCATGTATAAAAAAAGTGTATGTGGATTGGGTGCGTCGAAGTGAAAGACCTTCTTGGCAGACATTAGGTGCATGTAGTCCGAAGTCAAGTGTTTACTGGAGCCAATGGATTGCTAGTGCTGAAAGATGATCTTCTGGATAGAACCTTTGAGAACGATGATGGTACAGAAACTAAGCTTCAGTTGATTTGTACTAGAAGTAAAGTGTCAGAAGTATGGCGTCAGTTTCATGTCGGTGCATCTGGTGGACACTTTGGTATTACGAAGACTCTGCAAAAAAGGTTCGGAGAACGGTTCTTTTTGGGTGAACTGTAAGATGATGTTAAGAAGGTGGTGCCGGAAATGTGAAACGTGTGCAATAGTAATGGTCCAGTTGGTAAAAAGAGGGCACCCATGAAACAGTACAATGTTGTAGTCCTATGGAGAGAGTAGCAATCGCATTGCAGTCCACTCCAGAGACGAATGACGTGGAAATAAATATATCTGGTAGCCATTGGATTATTTTTCAAAATGGGAGAGGCCTATGCGATAACAAATCAAGAAGCTGTTACCGTTGCAGAGGTACTTGTTAAGATTTCTTTAGCCGATGTTGGTGTCCCTTGGAGATTCCCACTCGACCCAAGGGCGATAACTTCGAGTCAAACCTTTTCCAAAACGCGTTTGTTAAAATGATTGGTGTCAATAATGATCAGATCGTCACCCTGCATCCTCTAATCAGATGGATATCGAGAGGATGAACCGAACGATGGGTAAACACCGGTCCAAGTTGTATCAGAACATCAAAGAGATTGGGACCAGCACATTCCTTAATTTCCTAATGGCCTACCGCTCGGCCGTGAATGAAACTACGGGCAGGACTCCAACATGCCTGATGTTAGGTCGTGAAGTTCGTTGCCCTGCGACCTAGAGTTTGGCTGCAGGACCTTCCGAAGAATCATGTTGCAAGCGAAGGTTATGTGACAGGACCTAAAGTTAAGAATGAACAACATTAATGAACTTGCCCGACAAACACATCCAGTTAGCAGTTGACCGAATGAAAGATCAATACGATTCTCGATGCAAGAAATGAAAGCTATGAAGTAGGTGATTTGTTTGGCTTTATTAATCCCCAACGTCGTCGTGGTTGTCTCCTAAACTGCATAGACAATGGGAGGGGTCCGTTGAAATTATATAAAGAGAATCATGACGTAATATAACCGATTAAGAAGTGCCGAAAGGTAAACCAAAGGCAGTAGTTCACATAAATCGTCTTGCAACTTTGCCTGGGCTCAAATGAAACCGAAGAAGTCCGAACCCTTCAACATTGAGATCAAAGATGATCGGCGACCAAGCTTTAATGAATTTATGCAAATTTCGCAGATGAGAACGAGTGCTAGATTCGGAGTGACGACAGAAGTCAGCAGGATCTTTTTAGTGTTCCACTAACGTCTCTCTAAGCCCACTGCGTTGCCCAGATCTTGAGATGACTAAAGGAAATCTCTTCCGTATTTTATAAGAAAATTTGGTCGGTTTGGACGAGTTAAAAAAACAGCAGCTAAGTTGGAAGAGTACTTAGATTGAGAAGATGGTTCTCGATCTTTGCTGTATATGGTGACCAGGAAGTGTATACAGACAGAGGAACCTACGAGGATGGTTGTGCTCTAAACTAAATTGAAGAAAAATCGTCTGCAATTACCGATTTAAGAATTGGGCCATACCCAAGATAGGCCATGCACTAGTTAATCTGGTTGGAAGATTGTCAGAGCATGCTTGAACGTGATCCTTACGAGAGACCGGTGTTAAGATTACTGTGTGTTGCTTTAAGCCGAAGAGATCGTGTCCTTCAACGACAGTAGACTGTTATTTCTTTTGTGGGGGTTCTCTTGCAGAGCTGGAGTGTCCTGTAGATTCCGCCATCTGGGCATACATATAGAGTTGCTGATCGGGACGCTCAGATCTAAGAGGGGAGAGTGTTACGAACGTGAATTTATACGAGGCTCGTATAACCGTTGCATTTTGAAACAACAACCTCATGCTTCCATGCGGCGGCATCTCGAAAGCGACTCGATATTTCGAGAAAGTTCCGGTCTAGAGGTGGGAACTTTTCTAGAAAAATAGTAACTTTAGTATATATATGTAACGATCTTAGGAGTTAGTTTAGTTGTAAGAGAATACCGAACTGTAAAGTTATAAAATAAATATATTTATATAAAATTTCGAACCGCTTGTTTATGTAAAAAAACGGTACAAGTATGTCAAAATTAATCATTTTTATGATTAATTTGGCTAATACTCCGAAATTTTTTTTCCGAAAAAAAGAGAACGATTTCCGAAGTGGAAATTAAAATGTCAATAAACGTACTTTAACCTTTAAATCTTTGAAGTATACTGGTACATTTTTTGTACCACTAAAAATTAGTTCCATGCTGCACAACGGTCCATAAAACTACCACCTAACAAATTAAATTTATCGTTCGGCACAGCGATAGCTAAAATGTACCACTATACTGAACCGCCTGTTTAAATCACGTGCCAGAAATATTTCCCATAAATTTGTGTCTTTAGATTGTAGCATTTGCAATTTCAATAATTCTTTGATATATAAATTCTTTGAAATATATATTGAAATATATTGGAATCTCCTCGTATATGTTTTAATTTAAAATCCTTCGATATATGAATTAAAATAGAATAATATTTTCAGTGTATTTTAGTTTCCTATCTCACAAGTTACGCAAAAAGTATTTTTAATTCCTTCTTAGGTCGGCTCGAGTTAATGTAAACCATTTTATTGTTTGTTTATGTCACCGGCGCAAATTCTTCGATATTATTCCTTGATTTAAGCAGCCCGATGTGCTGCGTTTTAAATAAATTTTAATTACGTCTTAATTCCCGTTTGTATTTTGTTTATACTAAGTGTTTTGTTTATTTCAACTTATGCGATCAATTTTTAAAGATAATTTCATCTTCATCACTTTCGCTGGAGCCGCGGTGAAGAGCGGTGGTCTTCAACGTTAAGTCCAAATTGTACGTCAAATTTGAAATGTTCCTCGTTGTTCGTTTTTTTTTTATGAAGAATATGTAAAATATAGTAGCAGTTTAATGGTTCAGTTACAGTTTTAAGTGAGTTTTGAAATGTAACCATTGTATCCAGTTGTACCTATTCTATTCCTGTTTTTAAGAAGCTAAGTCCAGATTATTTTCCAAGGTTTGTATTCCAGTGACCTAATTTCTTTTTAGTTCGTGTGTCAGAGATTTTCAGCCATTGTTGAGTTTTTTAGAAGACCAGTTTATAGCTCAAGTGTAATTTTAGTGAAACTCAGGTAACTTTTTTTGTGATCAAATTTTCAAGTAAATACAGACATTTTTTATAACAATAATTACTTTCGTTACAATTTAAATTTTTGTTTTTTTTTTAAATTGTAAATTTTAGGTTTTAACTTTAGCTGTCATTTTAACACGTTCAGTGCTGATGGCGTAATATTACGGCATGCCGACGCAACACCGTGGTGCGCATGCCGTGATTTTACGTCCCACCACGTTCGATTTGTCTTTGCCGGTCAGTAATGCATTAGCACTGACCGGTATTGCATGTTTTCTGTCGGCGCACCAAACAAAGCATTATAAAATACGTTTACCACGCGATTGCGGTTTTGAAAATGAGTGAACTTGTGCCAGAACCTTCGGGATGTAGTACCGCAAAAACAGTAAAACAGCGGAAATCTTCAGCTCCCTTTAGCATAGAGGAGTTAGAAGAGATATTATGCGACTCGGATTATGATGACGACGACCCGACTTTTTCTTTACGTGAGGAAGCGAGAAAATCTGGCTGGAGTGACTCTGATGACGAAGAAGAATCTGACGAAGGGCAAGCTGAAGAGGAGGAGATGGATTCGACAGTATCAACTGCTGATACGACCCAAACTTCGAAAGATGACGTTCCCCTTGTGCAACCTCAACAGCAGCAACCGGCGGATCCTGGACAACAAACAGGTACACGATTATTACTTGGTCATATAGTCCGACGGTAGCGCCTCAACGAGTTACTTTCTTGAAAAAACGCCAGCTTTTTGTGGTACCCAATGGAAACCACCCTGCAGATTATTTTGATCTAGTCGTAAACGATAGTTTTTATGAACTCATTGCTTAAGAAACCAATAAGTATGCTGTCCGAGTTCTCCCGTCTGTAGGGCATAAAGAATATTCTAGAATAACTAGATGGAAGGATGTAACGACGGATGAACTGAAAATATTCTTTGGCTTACTATTACGCATGGGTACAATTCAATTGAATCGCATATAGGACTACTGAAAAAAGATCCACTATTTGATATACCAATCTTTTCTGCCAATATGAGCGGTGACAGGTTCTTGTTGATTTTTTGATGTCTTCATTTTTCGCCAAATCCTGAAAGTCACGAACCGGTGCCTGAGGACAGACTTTTCAAGATACGGCCGATTATAAATTACTTCAATGATAAAATGATGGAGATTTACTACCCTGATTAATGTTTGTCCCTCGACGAATCGATGCTTCTTTGGCGTGGAAGAGTTCTATTTAGGCAGTACATCAAGAACATACGTCACAAATACGGAATAAAGTTGTATGCACTCACAGAACCCGATGGGACTGTCATAAACTTCTCTGTTTATACTGGAGCACTTGACGACGATGGTGGAAAAGGACACACCAGAAAGGTGGTCATGCAGTTGATGAACGAGAAACTGGATGCTGGTCATTCTGTCTTGATGGACAATTATTACAATAGCTATGATGTAGCTCTTCAGCTATTACAAAGAAAAACTTTATGCACAGGAACCCTTCAGAGCAACAGAAAAAATACACCACTGGACATAAAAAACTCAAATCTGGCCAAACGCAACACTCTAGCATGCTAGAGTAGAAAAGAATGTTGAATGCGTGAAAATCGAAAGCAATTAATCCAACCAAACATTTACAATCCAAAATGAAAATACCGATGACAGTGATTATAAGTATGGATCTAATTCTTGATTACACTGTTAATAAGTTTTAATTTTCTCATTCAGAAAAATATTTAGTGTAATTGTTATTATTTTATCAGTAAATACTAACCACTACAGTTTAGAAACAATAGAATTCTAGTTTTCTTCTATTTTTGCACTAATAATTGTATATACCTCTAAGTGAATGTAAACTACAATATTAGTTATAACCGTACTTTTGTTTGTCTCCTTAAGTGCTTATATAAGATATAAGATGAAAAACGTACCTGGTCAGCTAATACAGCAATTCCCAATAATAGTAGTATCAGTTTAGTCATTGTAACAGCGCAATCACAACTCGTTCTATCCAATTATATAAATGTTACTGATATTTATGTATTTTTTATTTTAAATAGATTTCCTATACCTTTTGTTATTAGGTGCAAAAATGTGGTCATTATCGCAAATTATTACATCATTAGCAAATATTTTATTTCAAATAATCTCGTCACTATATTATAATTAATATTATTAATATTAAGATGCATTCATATTATTTTTTTATTATTCTCTTAAGGTTAGTATCGTAAAAACTGCCTTATAAAAAGCATTTAATCCTTCTGAAGGTGGACGGCCATAGATCAGTGGCAAGATACTGGCTTTAGAAGCCAGAGCGCACGAGTTAGAATCTCGGCACCATCAACGACATTTTTAATCTATAAGATTGAGTCGTTTGACAGACTCAAAGATGTAATCGATCTTCTGTATAATAGAGAAGTATATTTATAAAAACTATCGATAACATTTACCAAAACAACAAAATAGAAGTCAGAATAGATGGACAATTACAGAACCTATAAAAATAGTCAGCTGAATAAGTCAAGGAGATTCATTGAACTCCGTGCTCTTCAATTTGATCATGGATGAAATCATCAAAACCGTTAACACCGTTGACAACGGAAGAGGATACAGAATGGGAAACAATGAAATCAAAATACTCTGTTACACAGACGACGCAATATTGATACCCCAAGATGAAGATAATTTGCAAAGACTGGTCCACAGATTTAACATCAGAACAAAAGAATTTAATATGACAATATCATCTCAGAAAACTAAAGCAATAGTAGTCAGCAAAAAATCAACCAGATGTAAAATAGAAATTGAAAGCATCAGTATTGAATAAGTGATGGAAACAAAATACCTGGGAATAACACTGTCCAGCTATGGACACCTGGACAAAGAAGTGAGAGATCAAGTACAAAAAGCAAATAGACTGGCAGGATGTCTTAATAATACTATATGGCGAAACAGACACATTGACACTGAGATGAAGTCAAGAATATATAAAGCCAGTGTAAGACCAATAATGGCATACGCCTCAGAAACAAGACCCGACACAGTCACAACGCAGAGGCTACTGGAAACGGTTGAGAAGAATTACAGGAACTACGCTGACAGATCGGAAGAGAAGTGAAGACAGAAGAAAATGTAACGTACAGTGTATAAATGAATGGACACAAAATAGAATAAAGAATGGAATAACCACATAAGCAGAATAGAGGAGACCCGTGTCGTCAAAATAGCAAGAGATGTCACCAATCGGCAGAAGTATCGGACGACCGCTCAAAAGATGGGGTGACAACCTTTCAAAGAGGTATTAATCCGCCAATGAACAAGCAGAATTGCTTATAAAGAGTAAGAAGAACAAGAAGAAGAAGAAGAAGAAGATACTATTATTATTAATATTATCCTTCTGAATTAATACCCTTAAAAGAAAAATACTGAGATGGATATTGGAGCCCATTAGTAACAATGGTGTGTGAGGAATATGATTTAACCACTAGTTATACCAATATTACAACCCACTAAAGCAAAGTGTGCAAAAATAGAAACACTGCGCTTGTCAGGTTACCTTATGAGAATCGATAATAACAGAACACCTACGCAGAACACTTGGTAAAATTAGGGTAGGGTGTAGGCCAGTGAAAGAAGCAAGAAAGAGGGGGTTAGACAAAGTAAGAACCGATGCCACAAAGATGTTGAGAGTGGATAACTGGAGGAGAGCAGAAGAAAAAAGAAATGTTTGGAGGTGAATGCTGGAGGGTTCCAGGACCAGATTTGGGCTCCAGCACCAATGGAAAGGGAGAGACTCAATTGTTAGTTTCTTAGTACCTTCCTTTCTCCTATGCTTTATTTAGATTTCTACTAGTAGAAGAGTGCTGCATTGTTTCCCACGTTTTTTATAATATTTTTGATTAGGGTTTCACGCGGGACAGCGGGGCGGCTCTTGTTTTTTAACCAGAAGTGGAATAGTAACAAAATTATGGCTTCAGATGCCTTATATGTCGTTGTTATTCCATGTAAAGATTCATGAATATCGTCTTTTTCATTTCGAAAATATTTTGTTGGTTACATAGTTTATCCCAATCGTGTATGTACCTATTTATTGAATTTCTGACTGAAGACGACAGACTGTCATATACAGAATTCCGTTGAGGTTAAAACGCTCAGATAGTAAGTTTTTTTTCATTGTAGATTGTATCTACACTTCTTTATCGTTTATATACGTTAGGGTTTTGTCCAATGACTCTAATCCATGATTTATTTGAAAGGGAAATATTTTCCTAATTTAACAAATATATAATACTCATTTCTACGTATTTTAAATATCTACATACCTAAGTGAATGAACAGCGAAAACTAATCTTATAATTATCCATTGGTCTACAAACCATAAAAATAGCGACGTTCATGCATTACTGGCGAATAAACACATCTGCCAGACCGTCTGGGATATTTATAACGGCATGTAATATAGCTACCTATATCTATAGCCAAGACAAGGTGACTACCTTTTTCCTGCTTTAATAGTACTGGCGCAAAATCTCTAATTTAACAGAACAAATTATTATGCTTATGATGCTTATTTATGGTTTTTACATAAAAATAAAATAATATGCAAAGTTTCTAATCTAGAGCTGGCAAATATGGTGTTAAAAGATACAGAATATGCAAAAAACATGAATTCTGCAATAGTGGCAAATTTATCCAATTTAGAAAATATTAACGTTTAGATGTACCCTTCAAAATTTAAGCTTAAATTTAAATCGAACCCTTAGTTAACAAGTTGCAATAGTTTAACTGCCTTTACTCTCGCAATCTTTTAAGAGCTATTCAGCTTCTGCTCTGTCTGATGCCCTAAAAATAATGCTAAACAGTATGATTACCCAAATTTGTTCCAGAAACATAAAAAAATCCAAAAACAAAGACTTTTCTTTCAAGGACTTCCAGGTTTCTTTTTGTGTTTTCTGTCATGGCCCATGTATCGCATCCATAACATACTGTTACGATATATATTATGAATCTTATGACCATGTAGAATCTTATGTGTACCTTGGCACCAACGTAAATGCAAAATGGGAACAGACCATAAAAATTATGGCGAGAATAGAACGAGCTAGAGCAGCATTTAGCAATATGAAAAAGCTTCTCATAAGCAAGGATTTGTCTCTTCCCCTAAAACTACGTATAGTTAAATGCTACATTTTTCCAATCTTGCTGTATGGCGTGGAGGCCTGGACGCTGACGGAGACGCTAACGAGAAAACTAGAAGTATTCGAAATGTGGGTGTACCGACGCATTCTTCGTATATCCTGGACCAAACATGTCACCAACATAGAGGTACTCCAAAGAATCGGAAAGGAGAAAAAAATCGTGAATACAATTAAACAAAGAAAGCTTGAATATCTAGGCCACATATTGAGACACGATAAGTACCGTCTGCTACTTGTCCAGGGAAAAATAGACAGTAAGCGAGGGCCAGGCAGGAGAAGACACTCGTGGCTCCAAAATCTGCGGAAGTGGTTCGGGCTCACATCGGTCGAACTATTCAGAAGCGCCGCAAACAAGATCAAAATTGCCATGTTAATAGCCAACGTTCGCAACGGACAGGGCACTTGAAGAAAAAGAGTATATATTAAAGAGAATTGGAGACAAGATACAGCCCTGTTCTACCCCCTTCTTGATCTCAATTTTATTGGTCAATGTAGATCCTACTTTCACTTTAGCTGTTTGACCCCAATAGAGACTCGCTATTGTTCGAATGTCTCTGTAGTCGACTCCGATCTTATGGAGAACTTCAATTATTTTTTCGTGCTTTACGTTATCAAATGCTTTTGCGTAGTCTATAAAGCATATGTACACGTCTTTGTTCATATTTCTGCAGCGCTGGATGAGTACCTGTAGACTAAAAAGTGCTTCTCTTGTCCCAAGAGAATTTCGAAACCCAAACTGCGAATCTTCAATGTTATCCTCGCATTTTTTGCTTATTCTGTTGTAAATAACCTTGGTGTATGCCTTCGAAATGTGGTTAATTAGACTTATCATCCGATGTTGATCACAAGACTTTGCTTTTGGTTTTTTCGGTATGGCAACAAAAGTTGACTCTAGCCAGTCTTCAGGAAACTCTCCGCTGTTATAAATATTGTTAAAGAGTCTAACGAGTGAGTCTAGAAATTGACTGTTTGTTTCGCACAGCATTTTCAATACTTCTCCGTATACGTTATCGTTGCCTGGTCTTTTGTTATTTTTAAGTCCCTTTATAGCATTCTCCACTTCTGATTTTAGAATAGAAGGGCCAGTATCATTATTGCTCGGTGTACATCCACTAGGACGGCCATCATTATACAGTTGTTCCACATAAGTTTCCCAGATTCTAACTATTTTGTCGGGGTCTAGTTGTAGATTTCCATTATCATCGCACAGGCCTTTCGATAAAATATTGTAGCTTTTCTTTGTTGTGAGTTCCTTTATCTTCTTATGCATATTGTGATATTCGTATACCTTTTCGCACTGTTCGATTTCTTCGCATCTCTCCGAGAACCATTTCTCTTTAGTTTTTCTTATCTTAGATCTTATTCGTCTATGGGTTTCACGGTATTTGACAGTATCTTTAGTTTTATATATCCGTCTCTCTTCCATCATGTCAAGGATTTCTGCAGTCATCTAGTCTTTCTTTTTTCTCTTATCAGGTAGTAAAAACTTAGTGCTTGAAGTCCTAATCTCTTCTTTAATTTCACTCCACTTTTCCAGCGGTTCATTGTTATTTTTAAGGATTTTTGATATTTCGGTATTTAAGTTCTCCTGCATCTGTTGTTTAATATTATTGTTGAAAAGCTTCCTAATATCTAGCGTTTCGGGCCTGTTCTTTACATTTGGCTTTTTTAACTTTACTTCAAACTTACATACCACCGGATTGTGGTCTGATGCTACGTCCGCACCCGGGTAAGTATTTACGGCTTTGATGGAGTTTCTAAACCTGATTGGTGTAGCGATATAATCTATATTTAAGGCATATATTATGTTAAATCTGTGAATGCTTCTTTTTCAAAATATACTTTTGGCAGATAAACCCATCTTCTAGCTACCGCCTTAATTTATTTATTATTGAGATATGCAATATAAACATTAATTCAAACGCAAAAAAGTAACGATACTAAACTACTAATATAAACTTTAAATAGTAAATACAAAGAAAATTAATGTCTTGCATAGGATAGTTAAAAAATATTTAAAGCAGAAATTCTAAAATATTGGAGCAATGAGAATTGAAATACAATCGTATAAATGATAGAGTATTACTTAAAAAGAATGGAGAAAATATTCGAAGTAGTGAACGATTATAGAAAATGAAGTAATACTAACAATTAACAGCATAAATGGAAGAAAAATTAATAATTTCTTTACTAGAGATAAGGAAGGAGCAGATATGTGTACACTATTTACAAATTAAAGTAAAATTTGAATGAATTAGTTTTTTTATCTGTAGATAGTTTTGTCATTTTTAAAATTGCCAACATATATTTGGTAAAAATTATTTAGAGTAAATAACAATAAAATAGGTTGTAAAGAAAAAGATAGTAAGCCCCTGCACTATAATTTTGATCCCATCGAGTCTACTGGTGAATCAACTCGTTCAGTACAAGTTCAAAAGCAAGGTTGCGTTGGGGTAGGTTATAGATTTATTTCAGCAATCTGGGAGATGGAATTCGTAAAGTTAAACCATAAATTTTGAGACAACATGGCAACTTCCAATAAACCACCATCAATGCCCGCTTTGATGGAAACTTTTTACTATGAAAACTTGAGGTAATTGCCCGCAATATGCATCTGGCGGGATCGTAAAATTAGTGATATATGAATGTGAATGACATTTAACTACATTTTATTACATATTTTACAATAACTGAAAATAAGTTTCCAGTAGAAACTGATCATTGGGTGCTTGTATACAGAATAAGTTCCCATAAATGCAAAATAGGTAATGCACGAATGTGATTTTATTTATTAAGAAGTCAACCTAACGATTACTAAGGAGAGTTCATTAAATACTTTGTTCAATAACTAAAAATTATTAAAATTTTAATATTTAAATAATATTTATATTGTTTAGGAATTACCTACAAATAATTTAATTAGAAATATGTTTTTAGTCGATATTCCAATTTCTTTTTTCTACTTTTTTTCACCTCTCAGTGCTCATCCTAGCAATATGTTCATTCTATCACTGTTTACACTATTTCTTTCATTTTTGTCTATCATCTGATTCATTGATTTGTTTTTCCGTTGCGCAGCTGTCGAAGATCTGTCATTACTTTTGACAGAATGGACATTGCGGAATTAAGCTTCGTTTGATTATTTTATTTGTGACACCCCGAGATGGTGTTAAAATAAATGATTGGTTAAAGTCTTCTTGAGCGAGATAGGCTGTCATTTCTCTTTATTAACTGACTGGGGTCAAAGTGATGGGAGAAATGTCCAAGGTTATTCATATAAATTTCTAGGGTATGTTCGATACAGTCTGTATTAGAAGATATTTGAGTAAGTTTATTCTCAACCAAAACATAGTCGGTTTTTAAAGTAATAAATGCGTATTGAAAATCTGCAAATTCTTAACCGCCGTGCAGCATTATTTAAGTCTAAACATAGACACTAGGAAGGTCGGGTATTATTTGCAAGGTGCTACAGAACTTAACGGTTTTCGGGTGACTTTGGCCCAGTTTGTTGATTGTCGGATTTTGATCATTCGTTGATTATAACTGCAGGGTTTATTACCTTTATAGCACTAACGACGTAGGTAACATTTTTTCTCTTTTAAATGCCCTCCAATTACAAACGTGTTGCTGGTAGTAGAAATTATGGAAATTACACTAAGCTATCAGATATGGAGTTCTATCTCAGAGAAAAGTTGCAATAGAATTTGGAGTTCCAGTAAGTAGTTTAAAAAATAGATTAAAAAATGGGCATACAAAGCAATATGATGATCAGACAATTTTTACAAAAGTTGAAGAGGACACCTTCACGTCTTATATTTATAGCTTATCTTTATACGGATTTACATTGGATTAGAGAGATTTTCGAAGTGAAGTGAAAAATTATTTAGATCGTGATGGTCGAATTATTAAGCAATTTAAAAATACCTTGCCAAGAAGACTGGTTAAATGATTTCCTTAAACGAAATCCGTTGGTAACTCAACGTTTTGCAAGCAACATCAAGAACCGATATCAGTGAAACAAATTTCAGAATGAACTCGTCGATGTCCCAGCTAACAACATTTGGAACTACGATGAAACAAATTTAAGTGACGACCCCGGCACAAAGAAAATTTGAATTTCAAAGTAACAACACTTTTGCACGGAGAAAATTGTCAATCGCTACACACTTAGTATTAGAATTTTAAAGTTACAACACTTTTGCAAGGAGAGAATTATAAAAAGTGTAGACACATTTTCTGTTAGTTGTTGTTCTCTTCTCGTATATCATCTTGGGACAAAGAAGATATACAATTTTTATAAAAACTATGGTGGGCTTCTGGTATCATAATATCTATTAAACTAACATTTAATAGATTCCAAGAAATAAATAGGTACCTAATAAAACGGCTTATCGCTAGCGTAATTTAATCTTTCTATGTCTGCACATGTTTCTGATAGTCACAATTCCTTGGCTCTATAATGATAATGTCATAATAGGGTAGAAAAATTATTTGTAAAACTTTCAATATTTTTATTTAAATTTAAAACAAAAGGACTAATAAAAATATGCAAATCAGGCTACCTTGAGTTCAGTGATTAACAAAAGGATAAAAATTCACTACCTTAGTAAAAGTTACGGGGGGACAATATGAAAAGACAATCGCCCCGGAAGGTTATATGAAGATTTAATACAATTTCTCATTTAGTTTTCGTAGAACAAGTTTTCTAAGAATAGATATTTTTAACCTGTCAGTAGGATTGTTAATACACAAGTTTTAAGATAACTGTTTTTCCTTTAATAAGAAAAAATACTTTTTGGCTGTAAATAATTAGTCTTCATTGATGGGTTTTTAATCCAATCTAATAAATAAGTGGTCAAATGAGATCGCACACATTTTATGGAAAATATAATGTCACACAAAGGATATAAAACTTACATAAATAAATTGGTAAATCGTAAATCTTTGTTTATTGTCTCGGTTGTTAATGGATTACGTAGACACGCTGTATATTACAATAAAACACTACAGATATAGATATCAAAATAAAAAATATCTTTTTTCGTGCCTTTCATTGCTTGTTATCGAAACCATTGCAATGTTCCGTGCAAAACTGTTGTAACTTTGTTACATTAGAGTTACAACAGTTTTGCACCAAACTTGTGTACAAAAACGTAAAATAGTTAAACTTTTGTTGTACATATAAACGTAAAATATTTAGCCGGTTAACCTTTGAAAGACTAAAGTTTTACAGGGAATAGATATGCATGTTTACAATCGAATTCTATGATTACTTATTTTCATAAAATTTTGAGTTACTGCAGTTTTGCACTGAGGGTGCGATATGAATATGTAGTTTTCTAAAACATTAACTTCTTATAGTGAAGCCATTCGGGCAATATAAGATGCTAATAAATATTGTTTGAATGACGTTTTTGAAAAAAAGTTTACTTTTATTTTCAATGTGATACATTAAAAAAAATAGTTGTTTAATATTATTGTTAATGATACACGTTAAAACAAAAGATTTGTATTTACATTTTTTTCCAACTACATAATGTATAAAGCCTTCTTTCAAGGATAAAATAAACTATTGCTTCTGCAATTAGAAGAAATCTGTTATTGTTGACTGCTTTAGAATTGTCCAGTATTATTCTATCTATATTTTATAAAGATATGAAACAGTTGTATTTATTGTAAATAAGTTTATTGCGTAAATAAGAAACACGTTTTTTGATCTTATTTTTTCTCGTTATAAGCAAATTTGCCTCACTATAGAAGAATATAGTTCAAAAGAAATTTCACGGGACATCTAATGTACCTCGCTATAAGCGAAACCTCGTAATAACCGTGTTCGTTATAGGGGGAGTATACTGTATATTCAGAATACTGATATTGATACTAAATTACGGTACTTAAAATTGACAAAGCACAGGAAAATAAGGTTTGACTTTAACTTTTATTTTCCACCCTCGTCAAATTACGATTTTTCTGAGTTGGGTGGTATTTTTTGGTGAATACTTACTTCGTAATTATGATATAATTTTTGAAAGAATTCCTTTGAAATTTAACAGTAGATATAGAAACAGTATTCTTTTTTTTTTTTTTTCTTAATAGAAATTTCTTCCAATCCAATAAATCATAATTTGAAATGCGCGACCACTATGAATACCATATGTTCAGTTCACACAGTGTAGTTTTTATAAATACTTCCAATAAAAAACAGCATGTCAAACGGTAGTTTTCTTTTGATATGAATCGTTATACCTTCAGATTTTATAGCCTTAGCCGGACGCTCGATCGTATCTTATTTAATATCTTCAAATTCAATTTAGTTCTGTAATTCTTCTATATTATGTTTTGCTCCTCTAAAAATGGACGATTTGATTCGGTTTCATTTTAAGACATCTTTATTTGGAGATGTAATTATCGTTAACGATTTCTTCGCTGGAGACAGATGTCATCTGCAGACCGTGTTATGAGATGATAGTTATGATTGTTTTCATTAAAATTAAATAAGGAAAACAAGCAAGCAGCGTTATATATAAATAAGTATGCAGTTATTACAAATATAATTACAGGATAAAATATGTTATAGGGGATTATGCCACAATTTTATTGTAATGAAAATTACATTTTAAAATTTTTATTCGACGTTTCGATTTCCATTCGGAAAATTATATCTTCCGATTAAGTACTGATTATTCATACTACTACTACTAAACTATAAATTAGTTACTGATTATTCACCCATTGCACCCAGTATTAATAATTTTAACAATACATATTGTAGCATTTGCAACTTCTTTGGTATATAAATTCATTGATATTTTTTTTATTGTATAATGGCTTTGGCATAGCCAATTAGCCAGACTATTTGTGGCAGTTACAATTTTTAATTTATTACCTAAGCCTATTTATAATATAATTTTACAGGAAGTAATATGTTAGTATATACATTCAATTTTTGACATATTTACAATTTTTAATTTGAATACCTAAAACTACTTATAATTTAAATTTACAGGACGTTATGTATTTGTCATTTTAATATCTGGGTATTATTTGAAAAAATAATTGTATTCAAATTGACAGGCAATGGACAATTTAGCACAATTAGTTATTCATACATCATTTTGATACTTTGTTTGTACTGTCCACACTCCAATATAAGGTGCTGCAAATCTCCCACTTTACCACAGGAGCAATATGGGTTATCAGTAAGGCCTATGCTGTGTTTATATGCAGGAGTGAGTGCGTGATTTGATCTTATTCTGTTTATTGTTTTTATAAGTAACCTGTTTGTCTCATATTTGAACCATCTTTCATTGGGTATTAGTAGTTGGCAAGCTCTAAAGTTGATTCCAGTTGTACTTTGGTTGTATAAACGTTGCCATCTTTGTTTGCAGTTGTTTCTACTGATATTATCTATGTCTGCTACTGGAAGAAGTATGTTGTTTACATTATGTTTGGTTAAA